CTCACCTGACGATCGGCATCTGAGGTGCGTCATCTTCGATCTGACGCGGGAAAGGATATGAGGCACAACATATATATCAAATTAAAAATATTTTTGTAACTTTTACAGGTAGTTTATATTTTATTAATATGAAATAAAGGGATTTTCTTATTTAATGAATAAAAACACTAATAATCAGTGCACAAAATTTTGGCGTGTCGTAACCTGCCTTTTTTTTTCAGTAAACAAACTTTGAAATTCCTGCAATATATTTTACATTATAAAATTTCCGGCCGCTTTAAAACTACGACGGAAATCAACTTAATTAAACGGAACCTCCGGCATTTTACAACAGAATTTTGTGCACAGCAGATAATACAACACTTAAGAAAAAGGTGTTGTTTGCAGACACCATACAGTAATATCATCATTCGTACTTATTTAGCATTAAAGGTTCAAGCACAAACACAAGCGAATATATCTATATCTTGCCAAGGAAATTTAGAATCTGTAAAATTATTAACTTAAGTTGCATTTATTAAAGTTATCCGATTTATAAAAAATTAATAGTAAGAAACCAATCGAAAAAAGATATACAAGATATTTGTTCTTTAATAATAATAAAAAGTCAAGTAATGTATGTCTAACTAGTTTATAAAATAAGTATAATGAATGTAAACTTTAAACTATCGCTATTGCTATGTGCAACGGTGGATTCTGCCGTTGTAGTACGTAACACCAATTATGGTTACAAACCCATTTATAGAAAGCCTCACAAAATTTTTTTCATCATAATTTTGACCGATCGAATTTTAAAATCAGGTGTAACGTAAAAATAACTAAATTTTTATTAGGAAACCATCTTCTGCGACCTAATTAAAAATGTTTCTCGTGGAATTCTACTAATATCAATCATATTTTTGAACAAAACAAGTTTGTTTTGACTATCATGTTATACCTGATCTTAAATTTTGATTGGTCAAAATTACAGGGAGTTGAAAAATTTGCGCTACCTAAAATCAAGGCTTGTGATTCATGAATATTCGATTTGCATTATAGGACTTATCGTTATTCTTATTGTTATATAAAATCAAGATAATTAAAACGGAAAGCTTTTTTCGTCAAACATTCGGTTAAGTTTATTCGAAGCAAGTGTGACACAGCAAATAAGCTTCAATTTACATTCCAAATAATTTTAGCTTTATTTCCTTTAAAAAACAACTGTTAAAAATATGCATAGGATGGATTTCATGTACGTGATTGGCAGTAACAAATTATCATCGTCAGTGTGATGCATCACCAATCCTTAAAAACAAACAATAGTGGGTTTTAGATTAGGTTAGGTTCGGTAAGACTATGGTTAAGGACTCACCTAATCCAAAATGTCGCAAGGAATCTTTTATTAAAAGTTTCTAAGAAAATGCTGAGTTATACATGATTCCTAAAAACTTCATAATCGTATTTATTTCACTTTATACCTGCATTCTAATTAATTGATCAGGGGTAGCGATGCAAAATAATATTAAATGAATTCTAAAACTTAACAGAATTTTACTTATGAAAAATGTTTTTTACGCACCCATCTAATTAGCCAATCAGATTTTAGGTTTTGTTGTTGGTTTTGATTTAGTGTAATGTAAGTGTAATGTAATACAACAATTTGGCTAATTAGAGGAAGCAATCTTCACCAGTATTACCACCAAAATGTTGCAATCATGTGAAAAACAAAAATTCTTATAGTTCGTTTAGGTTAGGTCAGGGTCTATGCTAATGTTAGTGTTAAAGAATGTTTAATAGTAAAATTGTTAAGGAAACCCTTTTTGTTAGAGCATTATAGATGGTTTCTTATGCTGCAAACGTTTGTTTTGAATTTTCCTGATCTCGAAATTTGATTTGTTTACATCACAAAAATTTCACGTGACTGCGACATTTTGGTAACTACCCCAAGAACACCTCAAAATTTTCTACGGTTTGTTGATTTTCTATGTGTAACATAAACACATCTAGCCAATCAAATTTGTTCCTATTTGATATTGATATTCATACGTATTTAGTGGTAAATAAAACTTTAAGCGAAGATAACTCGGCAACTACCTGACCAAATTGAGTGAATTTTTTTTTATTTGAATTCTTTGTAATTATAGAATTCAAATAAAAAATTTTCACTAAAATTGATCAGATCATTGTCGAGTTATCTTCGCTCAAATCTTAAAAAAATTTAGCGAAACTTTAAAAATTTTTGATAGACCTGAATTTTTTAAAATTTTATCGAAGATATATAGCTAATAACCTAATGAAATCGATTAAATTTTTTTTTATTTGAATTCTATTGTTTTATAGAATTCAAACAAAAAAAATTTCATCGAATTTGGCAGGGGTGATTGTCGAGATATCTTCTCTCAAAACTTGAAAGTTATGTTTTTGTGTCATTTTTTTTAAACTTTGACTTGGCAACCATCTGACCAAATTTGATGAAAATTTTTTTGTTTGGATTCAAAAAAACAGTAGAATTCAAATAATAAAAAATTCACTCAATTTAGTCGGGTAATTGTCAAGTTATCTTTGCTTAAAGTTAGAATTTTACAAAATGATCAGGAAATATGTATTTAGAGTTCGAAACTAACAGTTCCCGAAGAATGGCAGGAAAATATTACCCAAAAGAAAGATTAAGTTGATCAAAAAGAGAAAGCTGTCCAGGAGGTAAAAGTTTTGATATACAAAAATCAACAAATTGAATACAGACACCAAAGGTTAATAACTATTGCTAAGTATTCAATTTGCAAAGCAATAAAGAATTGTCTCTTTACACATTTTAATTCATAATTCTTAACAATAAAATCCTAACTTGCTTATTTTTAGCACTTTTCTCTAAACAATTTAATCACATTATTGAAATTTGACTAATAAAAAGACAAACTTAAAAGTTCTTTTTTAAAAGTATATACAAAAGAATATTTTGAAATGTTTTCTAAAAAAAGTTGAACTATAATTATCGTTCCTGCTTACAGTTAGATATTAATTGATCACAAAGTTGTGAAAGCTAGTATATGAGCATTTAGCTCTTAAAAATTGATAGTTTCGCTGCATCATTTATGCTATAATCGATCCTAAATTTATTAAAATTTAAAATTTAAAGTTAGTTTTTAATAAATCACATCAATTTTCATTCATTGTTAATATAAAATTTAAATACCTTAAAATTGTAAATACATAGTATGTTTATTATTGTCCTTCCATGTTCTTGGATTCGTTGTTCTTCTCTTATATGTTTTGATAACGGTCACCAACTTTCCAATGGCTTCAAAGCTTTTTTTCAACAGCCTGAGCCTATTTAAAATTATTGATTTCTTGTTGTTCTTGTACAATCAATAATGCATCTTGTAAAATCGAATTATACTTTTCAAAAAGCTGATTAGAATTATCATTTACATTTGCAGTAATATCGTTCAATACATCTAATTTAAAATAAATATTTAATTGTTAATGTTTGTATTTATTTTAATATTCAAACTTATACGATTTAGTGACAAAAAAAATTGAATTGCATAAGTTTGAACATACTAATCTTTACCTAACAAAGAATTATCTAATATATTATTTGATAACACCATATCAGTATTAATTAATGATTGAATACAAGTTTGCTGACTTGCTATGAATATAAATGAATAAGTATCTCATCGTTGAACATTTCGAAAAAATGCTGGACTAGTAGTAAATGAAGATAATTGGACTAAATGCTTGCATAAAAAAAATCAGTTCATTAAAAATCCAATACAATTACAAAACCACTTTTCAGTATTAGTCATATATGTGTTATTACAAGGTTTTTTTTTTAGTAAAACCCATTCCTTTTTAAAATCTTTATGCCATAAAGGATCTTCATGCCCAGAAAAATATTTATAATTTTGTTGTTGGTGATGTGGAATAAGTCATGAAATAATAATGTAAATTACAAGATCAAGTCGTGGTCTGAAGAATTTTGGTAAATAATTACATTTGATAACTTTCCAATGAGACTCGACAAGCATATTCGTGCGAAAAATACAAATTTGATCAGGTATTGTAGATCGTGTCCACAACTTCCAAAGTTCACCCCAATACCAGTTCTGTCATAAATATGCCCAAAGATGTTTAAGTTTATTCTGATTACAAAATTCATAAACTTCTTTAATGCATCGTTCCCAAATTTCTTCTTTAGTTATGAAAATCTCTTCTGAATTTGGAATAAGAGGATGTAAATGCATATGATATTCCATTATAGAAATAATTTTTTCTCGCAAATCCTTTGAACAAAAACAAAAATTACTTCGTGCTTTAGCATTAGAGATAGTTTTAGATGATGTTGATAAAATAGAATAAAACTCTATATTGATGAAATTAAATACATTATGTGCACTATAAGAACTATAGTTTATTTTTTTGGTTCTGAATTGTCTGCTAATCGTTTTTGAAGTGCCCTTTTTAGGTGCCAATAACAGAGCTGTATTTTAATATTTGGCCATATTTGTTGTGCAGCAGTAATTTGTGAAAAGTCTTTATCCATAAGGAAATAAATGAGTTGATCCATTTTTAAATGTAGTAATTCTTTAAAAAAATTACTTAAAATTTCTGTTTGTGCTCTGTCTTGTTTGTTGTTTCCTTCAACAAATAGGTATGCTAATACAAAACCTGCACCGTCATACTGACCAATTACCAAATAAAGTTGATATCCTAGAGTATTGGTTTTATGAGTTGCATCGATGAATATTTCTTGATTTTTTTTTAATTTTTCGAAAAATGGTGTAATAAAACCTAAGAGTTTTATTCCATTATCATTATTAAACATGATAATTTGATAGGTAGATTCTTCTAAAAGAATCTTTGATGATTTTATTTAGTTATAGTCCCGAATGAATTCTTTCTAAATAATAATGTCCACCATACATGAACTTGTTTTTGTGTTAGCTCAGTAGAATTTAGTTCTAATGCATGATAAATGTCACTTGAAGTTAAATGAATGTTTTTTTTAATATAATTTTTGATTTCTTCAGTTACACGATTTCTTTCAGGTCGACGATGAAGAGTTTCATGCTTGAGATAAATAGAAGCACTATTGGTTATTATGTTTAAAGTAATTTGAAGAGTACCATCACAGTCAAACCTCTCCATAGATTCACGGTCTCTTTGATGCTTAAGATCTTGATGTTTTCATAGTTTTTTTTCTAAGTTTATACATTAAGAACATCGGTATTGAAATGTAAATAACTCAACTTTTTTTTAAATGATTACTATTTGAATAGATATAATAATATCCATCAATATCACCAACTAAATTTGTGATCTTTCTAGATATTTCATGAGGATCATCCTCTATATTTATAAAATTATCCAATGTAATATTGCATTCGAAATAAATTCCAACTGATTCATTCTCAAAAAATTCATTAGAATCAACACTAGTGACTTTATTAAAAAGGGTTTCAGCCATTATTTCAGGAAGCAATATTTCTTTTTCTTCATGCTCTATTGATTCTTTATAGTAAATAAAAGATCATTGGTGACACATATTGCATGACTTTAAAACATGGCTTTTTTCATTTATAAATTGATTTATAGGTAGTAATTTGCGGCACATTGAACATTTTTGTGAATTGGTATTATTCTCTTGATTCTTATTATTTTCTTGATTCATATTATTCTCTTGATCGATATTCAAAGAAAAAATTTTTTTTTAAAAAAAATTTATATTTATTCTTATAGTATTTAATTATTACATCATATTGCATGTTTGCTCTATTTTACTTATGAAACAGATCTATTATTATTACATCATACTGTCATATCGCGCACGTTTGCTCTATTTTACTTATGAAACAGATTTATCATCATTACATCATATCATATAATTTTATAGTTATATTTTATTTACGAATATCATATCAAATAGGAACAAATTTAATTGGCTAGATGTGTTTATGTTATACATAGAAAATTAACAAACAATAGAAAATTTGAGGTGTTCTTGGTGTAGTTCATTTTGGTGACAATGCACAATGTTCACATGTTGATCAGCCAATCAAATTGTAAGTTTTAAAAAAAATAAAATCGAAGTGAAATTAAAACTGCAATAAATTCAGAGCTTAGAATAAATATATTTTATTTTTCATGAAGTATATTAGCATGTCATAATTTTGTCTATTTACTAACTAATTGACGAATTCGCTTCAATTGTCATTATCTACCTATAAAAACAAATAATCTTTAATATAAATTGTAATCTAAAACCAAGCATCATGGTTTTTCGAATAACCTTCATATATATAGTATAATCTAAAACCAGAAATTATGATCTATCTAATAATATAACGGCTATTCTAAAAATTTAAAGTTTTATTCTGTCAAAAAAAATACAAAAATATAAGTGTATATAGTTAGTTCTTATTATTATATATTTGTTTAAACTTTTAAAGACTTTTCTAAACATATAAAAAATTATATAAGCTAATATTCAAACCCACATTACTCATTAAATTATTGCTTCTAACAGTTGTTACTGTTCAACGTCTAGAATTTGTAGTTCAGTGTTTCATAATTTACCTACTAACATATAAATCTTTACAAGATAAATCATTATATAAAAGTTGTTGGATTCAGGTGATAAAAAAGTACTTTAAAATGTATAAATTATGACATTAATCATTTGTGTAACATGTTTTTATTTATAAGTACATTTGCTTATTTTACATGGAATATAAATAAATTAACATTTGTAACTATGTTTGAATGATTTCAAATACCAGTTAATTGAAAAGGCCATCAAAAATTTTTAATAAATTTGATTTAAAGTGCTTTTAATTAAAATAGTACATAGCTCACTTTTGGATAATTTATTATATTATATACGTCTGCATGTACATATATTGTAAATGCAACTTTAATTAATTTATACGCATAGAATAATGTTACAGTGATATTATTATTATTATTGAAAAATTAAAGTCGAATTTTAATTATATCAGTCACTTATTTAATAATCTGTCCAAGGTAATAATTATTTTTTGTGGATGTAATTGTGAAACATTATATCATTCTTATATGTGTATTGAATACTAGGAACAGAGTGAAATGAAGTTAAGGGTGAAATGATGTATGGGTGTCAAATCTTACATTTGATTGGTCCTTGTAAAAATACATGTCAAATATTGTATCTTTTTCACTTATTATTCATCATGTATGTACTTAATTTCACATGTTATAATTGTTTAATCGAACCAAAACCAGTTTTATCATATAAGAAAAATAGTTCAGAACTCTGTCTGTTCCTGGCTTCAATGTAACTACAGCATGCAGATGTCTAGTATTTTAAGGTGATTGTAGTCATACACAGAGTTTCTTTACAGGTGCAAGTAACATTATTATAGTTTATCTATATAGTTTAAATTTTTGATTATATTACTGAAACCATTTTAAGAATCCTTGCAAATAATCATTATAACTCTTATATAACATATTGATAATTATAACTTCAACCAAACTATTACTAGCATTACATTCATTTTTAATATTATTATAATAAAACTAATATATATTTTTCTAATAACTTATTTTTACCTAATCATATTATTATTCCTTTTTATCTTTTTCTTAAATTTTACAACCTTCATCTTAAATTAAACTTTTTAAACTTTACTTTTACTTTATCTAATATACTTATACAAAATATATGTAATTTATATCTTCAAATTGCTATATATAATATTAAGGTTTTAATACTATAACTAAAAAAAATATGACAAAACTATTGTTTATCTAATAATATTGATATTGTTTATATTACTGAAATAAAAATTACTAATAATAATAATCTTCATTTTTATAATAACAATTTATTTATATAATTTTAAATTAATTTAGAAAACTTAGTCAAAGGTACTATTATTATAATCTATAAACATTTACAATCTTATATATATTATTATTAAACACATCTTAATAGAGCAGTTGTTCTAGATTTTTTTTTTAAAAAATAAAACTAAATTGTATATTATAGTTGTTTATTTTTCTTTAATTAATATATACAAATACAATAAAACAAAATATAATTATTATATAGATTAAATAAGTCTAACAATTTGATCTTTATTATATTTACTTGGTAAGTTTAATATAAATAAAAATATTAGCAATTTATTATTGAAATTTTGACTTATTAATTATTTATATTATTCAAATATATTTAATCTTGATATATATGTAAATAATAAATATTACATATAATCAAATAATATTAGTCAAAGTTATATTAATTATATTTGAATTGACTTATTTAATATTTAATTAATTATGCAAAAGACTGGTTTAATGATAATCAGGTCTAATGTACTAAAAAGATTACAGTATCTTTCATAGTTGTGTAAGTTGAACTTAAAATAATGAGTAATTTTGCAAAAATATTTTATAATTTTTTAAATTTCAACTTTTTACTTAATTTCAAAGATCTTTTCTATTATAATATTTTCTTAATTAATTAAAATCTTTTAATTTTATTATCTAAATAACACTATTATCTTTTATTTAATATCTAAAAAATAACTTCTTTAATAAATCTTTTAAAATCTCTATTAATAATATATTTATTGAAACATATATCTATAAAAATCTAAAATATAAACTTTTATCTAATTATATATTTCTTTTAAATTTATATTATTATCTATATAATAAGCTTCTTATTATATCATATTTTCAATATTCAACTCCTCATACTATCTTAGATAATAATTTCTTTAATACATATAATAATAATAATTTAAGTTTTATATCTTTTAATTTACATAACTCTAATTCTATAACTACTAATAATACATCTCTTTTATAAATAACTCTTTCACCTATTATCTTAATCTCTATTAAAATTAGTTCTTTAAACATTAATAGTTTATTTCAATGTTTAAAAAAACTCTTATTCATTAATATTATTAATTAATATAATTTTGATATTTTTAGATTATTAGAAATATATCTAACTTCAAAAAAAAGAAAATATATTAATAAAAAATCAAGTAGATGTTGGAATTTCTATATATAATAGAATCTCTAAATATGTAGTTAGAATATACAATTATAATAATCATATAATTAGTCTTGATTTATATTTCAAACACAATTCTATTTGTATTCTTCAAATTTAGTTTCTAACAATAAAGAAAAAACAACTACATTTTAAAATCTAAGAATAAATTATCTAATTTTGTAATAATTCCAAACTATTAATTAATAATACTTAGTGATTTTAATAATGTTTCTAATCTATGTTTAAATAAAAATCCTCCTAAAAACACCTTTATTTCAGAATCTCAATTTCTTAAATATCTAATTAGTTATCAATTTAAAGATATATATCAACTTTTCTTTCCTTTAATTTACAAATTTATTTTTATTTATTCAAACTTAAACAGTAGAATTAACTAAATATAAACAAATCTAAGTATATCTCAAATTAACTATACTGATATTTTTGAGAATATTTCATTTGAATCTGATCACAAAATTATTATTTTTTTTTTAAATATTAAGATGAGGACTTGTAAATTAGAATTTTATTGATAGTATATTTGGCTAATAATTGCATTACAATCACAGAGAGTAATTATGAAAAGAGTATACAACTAGTCACTTGTACTAACTTTAGTTATTGTCTAATTTAAGTAGTCTGCCTAAAGGTTCTATACTAGCTGCTATGATTATACTTTTTGATATACCAAACCAATTTGGATGAAACAACTATCATTAGATTCAGTTCATTGAGATAGTTCTAATAAGTACAAAATCATATGATTTTAATCACAAAATTACAATATTAGAATAATTTTGATAAAATACTAAATTTAATATATGTAATTTGGATATAAATGACTAAATTAGCCAAGTTCCTAAAAGCATAAAAAGTATAGATATCACAGATATCACAGATCTCAAATATATCATATATATATCATTTCTTAGCTTTTTTTCATATATACAATATCTTTTATATATAACATATAGCATATATATATATTTTTTTTAATATTAATAGTAAGCCATGCCTCTATCTTTATTGAATATTTAATTAAAATTTTTAAATAAAGTATAAATTTACTATTAAAAATATTATAAAAAGTAAAAGTTCAGACTAGTTTATTTGCAACCTAAACCAACAGAAGTGGCTAAGGCTTATTTAGATTTGGTTGTTAGTAATTATATATAAAAGATTAGTTTAGTATTTGATTCATTGTATATATTAGAAGTTAATTTTAGAATGAATTGAATTAGAAAAAACAGATTGAGGTGAATATAAAATAGAATTTAAGAGTGAGTTAAAAGTAGAAGGATGAGATATTAATCTTGAAATATAGTAGAAAATACAAATTTTATGATATATTTGTTGATTAAGATGAAATAAAAATTTAATAACAAGTGTTGTAGCTAATTTTTTAGATGATAAAT